GAACAACGGGGTGGTAAAACCAACTCGTCAACAAGACACACGATTGCCGCTTGGTTTGGAAGCACTTGGTTGGTCACTTATATAAGTTTCCAGAAGCACTTGGTCACATGTTTTAACCTGCTTCAACAATGCTGGCGTGTGGCACAGTTTCATCCTTCAGCAGCAGCAGCATGGGTGAAAAAGGGCTTCCCCCCAAACCAATCCAAGTTGTCATCGATGGGGGACTCACTTGAACCATCAGGAACCTCTTTGGAACATGTTGGGACCCCAAAACCGAAGAAATACTGCTCCAAACCGCCCCCAAAAAAACCCTTGAAGTGAAGCTTAATGAAGCTTCCCAAAGCCTCCACTGGCGCGCCCTTGCGCCCTTGCGCACCTGTGCCATAAGCCTCGGGGAGATCCCACGGTCACCTGTCTTCGCGGAGGTGCCGTCCCGAACCAGGCGAATTGGGGCCACACTAAAACAACAAAACGCGTGGTACGGATCAGGATCATGGAGTCTGGTTCAGCATCCGGGAGTGGAAATGGATGGAAGAGATTGGAGTTACTTTAAGTCACTTGGTTTCATGAATGGATCCAATGTAGCAGGATCATCTGGTCTGGGTGTCCTGGCGTTCGGCTACCCTACTTATAGGTCTCTAGACAGGGCACCCAGTAAGGAAGTGCTAGGTATAACAAGTGAATTCTCCCCGTCCTAGCGCATGCAGTTGATCATATCTGTCTATTGCTTGTTCTTCCTCCGCACTGAACCGCGGGCGCCCCGACGCATCCCAAGCTTGGAATCCGTTGAACGTGCCCTGAAAAAGAGAACTTTTGGGGGATCCACCGTCACGTAAGGCGGGGGTGCTTTCGAAGGACCGCATTGGGTGGTTGTTTTAGCTTCTGAGGTGACCGCATGGGTTGGAAGGCTGTGGCTCTGAACATTCATGTTCAAACCGCCCGCCGGATCATCCGGTCTCTAAAGAGGAGACTAAGCTACTTACTGTATACTTATACACTACACCAATGGAGCTCCAAAGAGGACTCTCATGGGGATTTTCTGGTACAATCAATTATTCCAAAAAGCACCTCAAAGAAGGTGAGAGAAGTCGATTTTGAAGAACCCACCGGGGCTTTGTTCATGGTTTCGGCCGCTTTGTTCATTGTTTCCTTCAAGAGATTGGTTTCTTGGTAATTGTTGGTCGTTGATTTGGTTTCCAAGCAGTGATGGCTTTCAAAGGGGAGCCGCGGGAAACACATATTCCTAAGAAGGGGAGTCACCCAGAGGGAAAATAAACAATCACCTTATTGAGCAAAAACAGGTGTTACATCCAGGTGTTCATTCCAGAAGCTTCAATTCTGCCCAGCATCAGCTTGGACCCGAAACGTCGATGTCGAACGCCGATGTCGAACGCCGTGGAACCACGGGAAGTGACCCGTCGAGTTCCGCACCGCGCGAAGCTTTCGGCAGGTGCCGTCACTGTCAGCCATCGAAAAGTGTGAGACCTGGGAGAAATGGAGTGATTTGCATTTGAGCTATACTTACATCCAAACAATACGACGCCGTTACCGGGAACCGGGACCGTTTTCTCCAGCCTCCGGTTTGAAGGAAGAGATCTTCACCGGTGGCAAGGCTTGTCGCCTGGGAGCGGCGGCGTGAAACAGGCGGAGGCTCCGGGACGAGTCGCGGCGGAGTCTTCACAGAACACTGTGGAGTTGTTTCATTGAGGATCTAGAACTCTACAGTCCACAGGGACTAGAACTACTAGTTTCCTACAATGTATGATTCTGTAATTCATTAATTGCATCTATTTATCTAATTGCTATTGCTACTAGTTACAGTTCCACAAACAAAAACAGATTGCAACGTCCTTCTTAGTCCTTCCCTTCTGGACCCCGTGCCTGGGATACTCCACGGAGCGCTCGGCCCGGAGGCAGCGGTCAAAGAATTGCGCCTGACTGCGGGCGATTCAGCGAGGTGATGGAGAAAATGGCGCCTTCCTTGGGCCTTCTTGGGTGACCGTAGAGTAGAAAGTATTGGGCTTCCTTACATCAAATTCCTTTGTTTCCTTGGGGTGATGGAGAAAATGGCGCAAATAACACCAATATATAGTAATTCAGTGGTGCCTATAGTTTGCATGGTTTGGTGAGTGCCATTCCTGAACCCAACGAAAGCGCCATTCTCAACAAACATCCAATGGTGCGAAAATGGTTCCGCCATTGGTGCTTGGCAAAGAATGTGGGAATGAGCTCTCAACAAAGATTTGCTTGGATTCATTCCCTCATTTCTACTAAGCAGCTTTATAATAGGTACCAGTCACACAAAAAATCACATCAAGTGTAAGGAAACAAACTTGCTGGTACCTGGATCGATCCTGTGGTCTCTGCTTATAAGGATGGGAATAAGAGCCTTGTACTGAGCCTTGTGATGAGCAGACTAGATGCTTCAGCAAAGAACCACCTAATCCCAACTGGAGACCCCCTCAAAACACTGAAACTGAAACAACCCAAGCCACTACCGCAGCTAACGTGCAGGTTCTCGCACGCTCCATCGTTCACACTCGCCTTTTGCACGCCCAGCTCCGTGTTTATGGGGCTCCTGGCCAACGTGTATCGACGGGAGAGGGTTTCTACGTGTTTCTACCATGTTCGACATCAAACGTCAAGCAGGGATGGTTGGCTCAAGCAGTATAACATGAAACACCATGAAACACGTCCTTCTTTTTGAGTCAACTCTCATTCAGTCGTTCCTCAAGGCCCACACCCCCAACATTGACCGATTGGGTGGGAGCGCTGACTGGTGCGCTGACTCGGGGCTCCAAATCGCGCCCTGAGGAAGCTCCAATCCGTTTCGGATTCCGTCCAAGTGCGCATGGTCGCTCTCAGCTCCAATCCCTGACATTCCACCCAAACACTCCTATGGTAGCCGATCAGTTGGGTGGTGGACCGGGGGATCAATGGGGCGGCATATAAACCAGTCCCATGGAGTGTCTAGGTGGGACTGGAATATAGACTCCTTCGACCTACATTGAGCCCCTGAAATAACCACCCCAATATAGATATGACCATGGAGATCCTTAGACACGTCAGCTTGCGGGCACCATCTATACTCAAAGTCCCTCTCCAGCAGAGAAGTCCAAGTGCCTGGCCCCTGACCTGCTGGCAGGTGCTAACTGGATCTTTCAGGACTGAAGGGTCCGTCCTGACCTTCTCAGATAGCCTAACATATCCTAACATCCAGGGAATCCAGGATGCTCTTCAGAATGGTGTTTCAATGTGTTTCAGGTCTTTCACTATGCCCTCAAGTGGTCGAACTGCAGGGAACACAGCTCGATCCGACCATCAATTCAGAGGGCGGAAACCACCCGTGCCGCTGGTGGCGGGTCGCACCAGCAGCCCCGGCCTCGTCTGCAACACAGCTTCTCCGTGGAACGCTGCATTTGAACACGCCGGGTCCACACCGCGTCTGTGGTCCGCGTCTGGCCTCTTTTTCAAGACACGGTCCGACACCAAAGGACCAGGGAACGGAAGTAGACGTCCTGACACGATTGATCTTCTACAAAGATCTTCCGTCCCTGTTCCACTTCCAATGGTTTACTCTCGATGTGCTGCCCCATCGTTTCTACAAAGGGTTAGGACATCTGTGCTGTGCCTGTCGACACCCTGAATCTTGTTCTTCCACTTCCGATGTTTCTTGGAGGATCAGCACATCGAGTAGATCATAGTAGATCCATCCAATTCCTTCAGCTCACTGAGATCCAGCGCCGGCAGCGACTCTAGGTGCTCCCTTCGCCGCAGCTGCTTTTTCGGGAAACATGGAGACCCTCGGCTCCATCGGCAAATCACTCCAAATCGATCCAAACGAACACTCACCTGGTTGGTGGTTTCAACATCACAAATGACAAAGATGAGGACCTGTGGGTTCAATCATTTCAAACAAAGATTTGAACATCAAACATATATACACCCTGGAAGACTAACATGGACCCTGAAAGCTACTGGTTGGTAGAGGAAAACACTCTTCCAGGGGCCATTGTCAGGGTCTGTCTATGTTAGTTTTCGGGAGTGTAGTTCTCTGAAACATTCTGAAACCACCACCCAGTCACTGGACACTGAGGGTCCTTCCCATCGCCATCACCCTCATCGCCATCACCGTGCGCATCGCCCAGGTCGTCGAACTTTCGCCTTTCGGCGCCGGGGATCGCGTTCGAAGCGGTGGTGGAGAAGTGGTCGATTGGATGGACTACAAGCAGCTTGACATGGCTTGAGCCAGGTCATCCTCTGGTCATCTTCTTGGATGGACTACAAGCAGCTTGACATCTTGAACCCGGTCAACACGACCACCCGGTCAAAGGGAGCACCTTTTTTGGGACGGTGAGTTCTGATCCAAAAGCCGGGGAATCCATGTTGTTCAAAGCTGCCATCCCCAATTTGTCATAGCTAATCATGGTTCATCCTTTTGATTGTTGCAAAGGGACAACACTGATTAAATTTTAGGGAGACATTGGGTCTTTCTTGGACTACTTCACATCTGCTGTGTGAAGCTGCGATTGATGGTCTCAATATGTCAGAATAAGATTGACCATACAAGAAGTTCACAAGGAGCAAAAATGATCCCAGCTCAGCTTGAAGAGCCTATGATTGGATTGAACGATTCCATTACAGCAGAACGATCAAATCCAAAGAGATCTGTCTGTTCCTTCAGCCAGTCGAGGGTGCGGCGCCTCTCGCTGCCGGTTCCGTGGATGTCGTCTGACCACGGTGCGACCGGTCCCAAACAGGTCGTGGTTCGGGGGAAAAGGTCTACAATCCACTCTTGGCTTTGTAAGATGGATGCTGTTTGACTGTTTGCCAAGAGCATTGCACTTGATAGTTTCAAACTATAAAGATCAAGTCATCCAACAAACCTCAGGATGCATCTGTCCGACTTGCAGACATGAGAAAGCGCCCCCCCCAGCCAACGCGTGCCCAACACGGACTCCGGCGCATCCGTTTTGCTTCGCTCGGCGATTGCGAACGGCTCAACCGTCCAAGGCAGAAATCTGCTCCCGCAAGACGGAGACCTTCTCACGCAAACGCACCAGGAGGGGGTCTTCCTGCGACCGGCCGACCGGTCGCAAGAGGACGGCTGCAATTGACGGATCGAAAATGTCAGCAACTGAGAAAGCCCAATCACTGTATGGCATAGAATAACCAAGAAACACTATAGGGGTGGTTTTAGAGGTCCGTGTATTCGTGTATTTTTTGTGTGTATATTCATGTATATTCCAATATATTCCATAAATGGAGTGTCTTCTGGACTTGCTGCTATCGACATGCATCCCCATCCCCATCCTACAGTCCTACATTTTGCGGCACGAATCCCTCACTCCGTTGGCTTTCAGGAGAAACAACTGATTCTTCCAAAATGACGCGGTCAGCATGGCTTGCTTGCGCGTTCCTTTACATAAGAAGTGCCACCCAATTGGGGAGCTCAATCCATTGGTTTCTGGCTACTGGCAGCTCGCGGAGTTCGGTCATGGTCATCTGGCTCCCAAGCCCTGGAAAATTGCAACGAACATTTCCACAAAACCCCATCCCCCCAACGAGAATTTAAGATCCATCTGAAATGGGGATATATGGTTGTGGGTGATCTTTCTATCCAAGACCACATGGCAGAATTTGTCCCCACAAAAGTCGATAGATCCGACCACATGACTGGCTATTGGGCTCGGCTCACATGGACTGGAGTCAGAGATGCGTGACGCAGTGTTAGGGGTCACCCTGGCCTGGCAAAACAAACAAACACATACTACCTGCCGCGCAGGGCCGCCCACCAAACCAATACCAATACACCTATGCCGATACCTTGCTAGATGCCACCCTAGATTTAGTTTGTTCTTGTTGGCCTTTGCTTTGCTGAAAAGCAGGGTCTCAGCCAACCTAAGCCTTTCTGCCAACAAAAACCTACCGTCCAAACGGCCTTCAGACCAACCTCTCCCGTCCCCCTCCTCCGGCCCGACCGCCGGTCCTCGCACGACGGTCCCGGCTGTCCAGAGGACGCGTCGGAGGTGGAGCCGCCCGCCATATCTTTTCCTCAGCAAACATAGAGCCCTTGGACTCGAACGATAATTTTTGGCCACTCTTGTTCGATGTGAAAAAGTCTGGAAACCCCTGCGATTTCAGAAGTCCAGTCTGACCCCATGTTCACCGGGTTCCTTCATTGAATTCGTGTTTCTGTATGACCACTTATTTTGACCAATTCCAGTAAAATGAATTCATTGGCCTACTGTTTGGGATTCAAATTAAAACGAAAACCCATGATGTTTCCACAGTCCACCAGCATCTAGCCAATCTCAAGGTTGATTGTTTTTCTACCAGAACCTGGTCATCTGAGTGGATACAACTGAATTCATCACGTGCTAATTTGTTAGTACACCCCAATTTGTCGAGAACATACAGGGATACCTAATATGATACACTTACGAACTAGCCCCAGCACCGAAAGTATCCGAAAGTAAAACATTTTGGATAGAACTGACCACAGTTCGGCGAAAAACATGTGCCCAAAGATCATGCCAACTGGCGCAAATCAATACAAACAAATGCAAGTTGGACCATCCCCCCCAAAAGAAACATAGTCGCTCGAGTGTCTACGCGCCAGCTCGCAAGTTGGTCCTAAAAAACTAAACATCCAACGTGGTTTCATAAAGCCACTCGCAGCTCGCAGCTACCGGTCATGGACTCATGGCGAAACCTGCACATGGAGCTACTAGCAGCCAAGGCCAAAGTTGCTGTATTGCTATAGATTAGATCCCCCCAAAAAATGAACACAACGTTTAGGCTCGCAATTTGGTTGGGAGGGATTCTCACAAAGCATGATTCGTGGCATAAGGCCGCACAAAATCTAATCACCAAACCGCCTTTAATGCAGGTCTATTAAGACAACAATCTGCCCACAAGCCATGTTCAATTCACCCAGAGACAAATCCGTCGACGATCCTGGTTGCTTTTTGTGAAATAATCAAATTTCGCCGTGTGAGCCAATGGGACAAGCTGACTTGCAACTTACAGATTCCCAGCATCCATGTCGACAAGTTTCTGAAGGGCTATCAAACCATATGAAACAACCAACACAAGGTGTTTGCAAGGGAGCAAAGGGCATCGTTACTAGGAACAAGGGCATTGCTACTAGTTCACTTATCTTTTTGAGGTCACCTTCCTCCTTGCTCGCCTGCATCCTTCCAACCGTCGAGTCAGTCACTGAGCGGCGGTTCTGCAGCAAGGACTGGTTGAGCTCCTTAGAACGAGGAGTTTAGGTGATGTCCCGAACAGTCCGGGACTCCTAAGTTGGACACGTTCTATATATTGACATTACTTTGTATGAGTGTTCCTCTGGGAATGACCTTGAACAAACATATAATATCACACATTATGAGTACTAGTCATGATTGGACAGGAATCTCTGCATGGTTATAACATGTTATAACCGTATAGGAACCGCACCGCATGGGGATGGCCAGGCCTCTAGACAGGCCTTTTTTCATTATACATGTTTTTATTTTTGTTTCATACATCTCCAAACACCAAACTGAATCTCTTGCGCCTTTGGGGACTAACGAACCAGCCCAAAGAAGGTTCTGAAGGATCCCCACGTGAGCCCGTTCCCCAGGCATACTAGTAGCCGGTGGTCCCTTCCGAAGACTGTACAATGGTTGAAGGTGGGACAACGACTGTTACAAACGTTACCCGTCGTTGTCGGGTTGTCGGTAGAAGTTCTCAAGGTGGGGCATAGCACCAGCTTCCAACAAAAACAACAATTGTCATGCCACAAGGGAAGCACGTGCCAGCATGACACTGAGGATACTGGGGTACTGGCTCTACTCATGAGCCATGAGTTTAACATATTTCGATTCACTGCCAGGTAGCTGGCCCTTCAGCACAAATTCTAAGCTACTCGACATGTGTGACCCAAAGAGCATCCTACACAGAGCCACCACCTGGGCGTCCTAACGAGCTGTGATCCGAAAGCACGACCACATCGGTCGACTGCGGCGCCGAGCCGCCCGCGCAAAGCCGAGTTGTTCCTCCGCCTGCTGCTGGGCTTTCCGCGCCGAGCTGAGTTGCTTCTCCTGGCAGTTGAGGGCTGAGGTGAGCGGGGGGAAAGCTGCGCGACATGGGTCGAGTGAGCTGAACAAAGAACAACAACCAAATTGTGCTTAAGTGGACTGATGGACTGGCGTAAATCGAGGGCATCGCTTGGGGTATCGCCAAGGGTGTTGCTTCCAATTTTCGGGTTTGGGCGTTCTTACGGGAAAACAACATTAAAAAACATGTCGAACAAATACACTTGCACAATGTTCCTCCTTCATGTTTTGGTAGGGCATTGCCTGCCGGTTTTTTGTTTTGCAACGTCTGAAGGATTGAAGACGCCTCACATCTGTTGCTATACATACCATGTTTTGACGGTTGCTCATATGAGCTAAGAAGGGTGCTTCTGCTTGCCTAACTGCGTTGGAGGCGAACGGCCCTCTGGGTAGGCGAACGCAATCCACAAGACGGGGCAAGCTTTGCGCTGGTCGCAAGAGTTCTGCCCGAAACCACCAAGAACCCAAGAGTGACACTGACAAGAAATACGTATGTCAGCATGTATACTGTCATCAGCTCCCCGTAAGCATGTGGATCAAAGCTATAGCAGCATGATGAACAGCTTCTTCATCTCGCCCGATCTTCCGCATGTTTTGCATCTTCTAAACAACAAATATAAATTGAAAGCAACCCAACAAGGTAGAGGGAATATATGTGTTGCTTTGGAGCTTGGCACCTTCAATGAAAAGATTGAAGTTGGAAAAACATCGTGTGAAACAAATACATCACGGGTTAACACCGAACCAATTCCCAAACGTTTCTCCATTCACCACGTGCATGCACAAGGATCCTGTGCTTCATGTCTCACTTTCATTCGACGATTCGACCCCAACAACGCACCGTGCTCACAGCACGCGTGTGCGAAAACCACACCAAATCACCGAACGACCCGCCATGGGTCAAGCACCGAAGAAAGGCGTTGGTCTTTTCTTCCCAAAGAACCAACGGGTGTGGAACAAACGAATGGGGAGGGACCCCACCCGTCAGTTCGACCTCTGGGAAAATCAAACACATACTAATTACATCCATGGGGTGGGAGGTCCCCTTATTCAAATACACACCCAAATAGACTACGGGTCGACATACGGTCACCGGCCGGGTCCGCCGTGGGGTTGTCAGCAGGGTGAGAACGCACCCCACTGAGGTCAACGTCACCGAAGCGTGGCCATGAGAAACCTGGAGGCTCGAAATCCTGGTGAGTTGACCATCCACCCAAACACGACCGGTGGGACTGGTATGCCGATCAAACAGACCCCAAATCAACCACCCCAATGGATTGGCGGTCCTATGGCAGTCCCATGTCTGGGATATGGCGGTCAACCAGGCTAACCAGGTGGCATCACCCCCGCCCACCGGTCGACCGGTCAACCGTTGGATGGTGGTGTTCACTCGAAAAGGGAGCAAACCGAAGAGGAGTCGGAGGTCAGTTTGGGCAATTGGAGTCGGATTGTATAGTGATCTAGATATAATCCTAACATTTCACCCAATATATTTATTGTCTAAAGTGATTGATTATATGGAGTGATTGATTGAGTATTGATAGAGTGATATGATTATAGAGTGATTGATTATATGGACGAATGTCTAAAGTCTAGCAGAATCCCATTCAAGAGGCTCTGCCAGGCTCTGCCTTTTTGCTGTTCGGACTCTGAACTGCAGCTCTTTCAACCAAAATACCGAACTCCAACGCCCTTCGCCACCCAAGGACCACCTGCGCTCACCTCCCCATCCTTAGTGATCCCGGGTCCCGCATCCCGCGAGGACCTGCGCTTTCATGGCTTTCTCACTGGAGTCCACTTCCTGAGTCCTTGGAATGCTTCTGCGTGGGCAGGCAAAGATCCGGTGAAGACTTTTTGGGGGGACTGGCTAAGAAGGATTCAAAATGAAACCTGCCGGAATCTCAGAACGGGTTTTATTCTTTGGATTTTAGAGCAAACAAAACACGTTGTGAACCTTGACTCTGGATTCATTGGCTTCAAAGACCTGTTAAGTCCTGGACCAAGGAGCAAACTGGGAACATGTTGGTTTTGGAAGCGTTTGACGCTGGGATCAAACCAAAGACTCCCGCACTGATTGTAAGCTGGAGATGTTCTATTTACTGCTGATTCAGATGGCTATCCTACCTGTTTGCAGGATAGATCCTTTCCTTGACAAACATAGCTTAAACACCTCCCTGATGTGCAAAGTGAGGTCAACCTAACCTGTTGCAAAACATGGGTATTCTGGCGTCTTGTGAACTCATCTATGTTCATCTCCAATCCGTACAAATCAAGAGAACCTCCCACTTGAGCCTCTAGGGATACCCAAGGGATCCACACTGAGAAAGTGTTTGGATGTCTCTGATGGGTGACTGGAACTCTTTCTCTACATAGGCAGGGCTTTCAGGATTCACACAACATTCCTGAACACCGAATCAGCATCGCTCCCACTACCATCCTTCTGCAAATAGAGTTTCATTTTAAAACAATGTTTGAACACTTCCTGAAGGGGGGGGGCTGCTGTTTATTGTTCTATTGTCCTCAGTTTGCTCTATTTCTTTCTAATGCACCCCCTGTAACTGGTTCCATATTATTATGGATACACCCCTGGCTTGGTACCTCTCTGTGAATACCTTAAATCTTTGAGCTCAGTCTGCATCGATGATCACTCAGTCCGAGCGTCAAGTCTTTCGCCCGCTGCTCCTCTGCATCGATGGCCTACATCGTGGCGATGCGCGATCACATCCTCTTGCTTGGATGGGTCTTGATCTAGCAACTAGCATTGATTTTACCAACAGCCTTGCTCTCCATGTCACTCCATGGTGAAGAAAAACAACGAAACGTTCGTACTCATGCCACATTCTGCGCCCTCCCCGCCTCCTGCAGCGCGGCGAGCGCGCCGCTGTGCTGCCGTTGCAGGTCCTACGCGGCAGCTGGATGAAGTGGATGCCAAAACCTGGGGTGCTTTAGCACTATGGGCTCTAACTGCCCACACATGACCCGTTTTTGACATTATGGTACTTAAATTGGGATGGTAGGAAGGAGGTGAATGTAAGCCAATATTACAGTCCCAAGGAGTGTTCGGGAAGTATAAACTCCAAGTGGACCCTGCTAGTGTGAAGGACGGATTTTGGATTCATACGAGCGGGGTTCAACATAGCCCCAAAACACATGGATGTTTATCAAAAGAGAGAGACTTCAGTTCTGGCGAACCCCAAATAGGTGTGAATCATATTGAATAATTGTGAAGATATGAAGAGATACCAGGACCCTCCAAGGGGTGCCCTGTCTGGAAGCCTTTTTCGGTAGTGTGGGGTAGTCCAGCCAGGACACCCCGACAGGAGGGTGCAGGTATGTGAAGAACACATTGGGGGGTTTGAAAAGTGGCACAGCTCGCAGTTGATATTGGTGTCTACTCACAGCCACCATTCTACTGGAAACCACTATGGGAAAATTGTGCATGGATTGATTCTCCTAAACCTGGACCTGGACCCAAGATCGGTGCTTCCTGGTGCCAAGTGGGGGTCCCTAAGTGTTTCAACACATGTGTTGCAATCGTTTCAAGCTTGTCCATAGGCACCTGGCCAAAGTGCCGACAGGAATAGGGTGTTCCTTGTTTCCTCTTACTCTCACAGGATTTCGTTGGGCCACATCTCTTGAACCTGGCATTGACACTCCACCAGGCACCACACATCCCAAACAGGATTTGAATGTGCAACACGGCCATATTAGGATTGAATATTTGTAGTATCCCGGCAAGAGACCCAAACCATGTTGAGTAGATGAGACAACCGCCAACCGCGGTAAAAACAACAACAAATTTCCGCACTTTAAACTCTAGACACACATGACAACATTCACATGAAAGCACACATCTGAGAGCACACACACACATGAGGGCACACATATTCCAGCATACACATGAGAGCACGGGTTTGAGTAAGGACAAACATTGAGAGCACACCCGTGAGAGCACACACCCGTAAGAACACGCAAATGAGTACACACACACACACTTATTGAAATGCGTACTGACTCGAATGCCGCTCGCCACACGGAGTGTGGAGGATTTTTGCATGGGCTACCAATCTGGAGTTACATTTCTGCCCGTTTCCATCGGCAAGTTCCAGCAAGGTTTCCACGTAGTCGCAAAAGGCCATGCGTCCAGCTCAGACTGGAATTTCATGGGACCTGATGCGAGGCCCAAAGCAGCATATACTCGCCCATGCGCGAGGAAGGCCCAGCAGACTTCCTCGGAAAAGCAGAGCCAAATTCAGCAGTGGACGAAAACTGAGTAGGACCCATGGCTGCAGCCTTTTCCAGGAATTCTTGTTCAGAAGGACGATCAGGCTTTTCCATGCAGCGCAGACCCTTGAGGCAAGAAATGTCTCCTTCTTCAAATAATCATGCCACTCAAAGCCCTCTGGTGGCAAGCCTAGTGAGCACAACGCCAAGTCCACGGCAGCAAGATCAGTGGCTGTGGGGCGAAGCGCTCCCTGTTGGCCTGTGCCGTTCACATTGCTCAAGATCCCAGAGGCTTCCACGACCGTCCCCCGGTCTACATTCTTGGCGATGTTCATGATGTTTGAGCGTGGATGTGTCCTTTCCACGTGTAGCGGCCTGGCAAGATTCGTCCCTGGAGACCCTGAGAGAGCGACGTGCTCTTTCATAGACTGGATGATCTCTGCCTTCTCGCTCATCATCAAGCCAAAAGCACGGAAGGACTCCGGATCCTTGTGACTCACAGACACCTGGGGGCGGTATGATAAGTTGAGTTTCTTGTGGACTTCAGGATCCGCGAGGATCTCGCAACCCATGAGCCGCATACCCCCCTATACTTTGCGGCCTCGCCTTGATTGTCCGTCACTCGGATGCCGGCCTTGAGGAGTTCAGCCACCATGCTCGAGATCTCACCAGACTTCGAGTCGGGCTGTGGTAACTGTGGTTCGATGACGAACTCGGTGGGGATGCCTCCGCAAAACGGAAAGGCTAGTTCTTGTGCCGCTTGTATGGACCTGATGAGTGATCCGATGTCTTTGAGGAGAATTGCATACTGCCGTCGGGAGACAGCGTCCACACTCCGGGACAATTCCTTCAAGGGCCTCTTGAGCGAAATCACGAGGTTCCTTGTCACTTCACCTTCCTCGGTGCCGGCATGGGTTCCGGCAGGATTTCCGACCACCCCTCCTGTTCCGAGACAGGATTGATGAGAAACTTGTGAGTTGCCACGAGTAGCTTAGCGATCAGGCCAAAATCCCCGATCGAAGCCGAGCTCGTTGCTAATGTGCGCATTTGGGAGGTGTTGCGCACAAACAAATCACCCCCCGAGATGTTGACCTTCTGCAGCTCCAAACGCGAAAGCATTTCCCTCAGCTGCCCATCATCTTCAATGACCCGGAGGTCGATCGAAACGCGTCCGCCCCGAACCACCGACATGATTACAGTTGTTATCGACCCGATTAATCAACTCAGGTATCTAGACACAAGCTCTCCTGAGTCTGAGACTGTGGATAGTCTTTTGGCATTGCCTCTCTCTAACAGAGAAAGAGAACACCCGAGAACACACATATTAGATCATATTATAGAGCGTACAACGAGAGCGCGCACACACACACACACGTGAGAGCACATATATGTGAGATCCCCTGTGGAATTATCGGTGTACCTTGAGACTTTGTTTTAGAGTGATTAAGCGAAAACCAGGCTCCGAGGGCAGTATCAACCTTCTGCAGTGCTGGCAACATGTTCTCTATAGAATCAAGTGCCTCAGGGTATGGGTGTTCGTCATGAAAACTGACAGCAACAAATTCGCAAATCAATGATGCATAGCCAAGGTTGGTTTTGATTCTATAGAGAAGTGTGGGGACATATGAAGGTTGAAATTGATTTTAGACAAATTATGTTGGACCAGAGTGGCCCAAGAGGTTGGTTTTGATTTCAAAAGAGAAGTGTGGGGACGTATGAAGGTTGAAATTGATTTTAGAAAATATTGGACCTCACAACACACCATCCACTCTAAAATCAAGTCTCAACCTTCTACTACTCCAGATGTTTCCTGTAGAATCATTAGGGCCTCTATAAAATCTGGTGACATTGCCTGCCCTCTCTATAGAATCAGCTGTCGGGACCCTTTTTGAGAGAACAACCTGACTTTTTGGACCCCATGTTTAAAACTTGAGGCCAGGGGGAGGAGGTCGAAAGCTAGCCGAATCGCACCGGATGTACTAGTTACATAGTTGGCAAAGCATGTGGTGATTACATGTTTTGGGAGAAAGGTTGCTACGTACATACTTTGCGCTACAGAATGTAAATGTGACATCGCCGACTGGGAAGGGTACATTGGAACAACACGGGTGCACTCGTTGGCAGGCACGAAGATGCGGGATCGGCAAATCTGGGGAGTAAATTTACCCCCCGCTTTTGTATGCCTTGAGTCGGAAAGAGGGGTAAGCATTTCTGACATCACACGGACTGTACATACACTAGGGCGTCCGTAGTGTAGGAGAAGCACGGGTAAAAGGTATATTGGACCCCATGTTTAAAATCTGGTTATAAAAATGAGGGTCATTTTAAGCAAGCTCCCAGGTTCTATAGAGGATATTCGGCAGGGGATTATGTGAGCTCGCAATGAGAGTCTGCAAATTACAGTAGAGCAAACAGGTTAGAGCACACATACATATGAGAAGTTCACTCATTGCTGCGCCTGCCTCGAGATCTCTTGAAGTGTAGTGTATATCGTGGCAGGCGCAGCACTTTGTGACCTTCAACCTTCAAATGGCAGGGTCAGGTCACGGCCCTTGCGACACATGTCCTGCACAAGAAAGTGAGGGATCTTTTTCTGAAAGTGTTCTTGAAGGCGCTTAAGATGAAAGGCAGCTCCTCCGGCCTCCATGCGCCCACGGATTCTGTGGACTCGGGGCATGCACTGGTAACACCCTTACGGCCTATAGGAATCTGGAATTCACAAGCTATAACTAGGAAGCATGACCTGGTCCGGAGAATTGTCATCGGGTCAATGCGAGAATTTCTACTTGGCAATGGATTCTTGCAATGCCCGGCTTCTGGCTAAATCCCACAGCCACAAGGTGCTAAGCACCACAGCTCAGGTCCCCTCTTTGCAGCTCCGACCAGCGCCGGCTCCATGGGTTCAGCTGTGCCATTGTGAGCACTATGGGCCACAGCTCTCTTTTTCGGCCACGGCTTTGCAACAAAGACTCCTGCAAGACAGTCACAAGGTCTTTTGTGCACATCTAAGCATACCAAAGTGAGATTTGCTGCGGCAATGCCTTCCTCCTGCATACAGGGCGCCTTCCATGCATGCCAACTGGGCTTGAGTGAAGTTGAAATACTAGGATGAAATCTGCATGGAGTCACATGCTTCAGAAGCATTCCAGGGCACCAACTCCTGCAAGTCCAGAGTGAATATATGAACAGGCCGATTATTCCCAATCCAATCCAATCAACCTCTGAATCCAGCTGGATGAACCAACCCCACCCGCAGCAAGTCTAAAAGCCACAGCTGCAACACGTCTTTTGTCATTTGCTGTGCAAACAAAGCAAGACTGCACCCACTTGAGGCACAATTCTTTGATTTTTGTCAAGAAGGCATGCGCCCTCTCACACTTGGACACCGTTGCATTTCACTGGCGCGATCATTCACCAATGAAGAGCCAGGTTCCTTACTAGAGCCAACTTCCTTCTTGTGCTCTTCTGATTGATGCACTTGCAATAAAATCCATTGGCAAGGAACCCAAACTGGGTAGAACAAACACATTAGAGAAACAACCTCCTAACAAAGACAAAACTGCTATTATCTGCTATTATATCGTGCAGCTTATTCTGCCCATCCCACTTTAGATCCTTTCTGCCCCCAAAAAATACTCTCAACTCTTTCGCAGCCAGTCCGTGAGTTGACGCTCGTAGAGGGAGCGTTGATGGTCCAACTGCGAGGCTAAAATGGCATCTAACCTGGGCGCAAGATCCGATGTCATGGGCACACCATGGCACGGCGCAAACACGTTGGATTGACTCAATGACTCTTTGCAAGTGGTTTCAGAGATGATGGCACTGGCAAGGCCGGTGTGTTTCAGCTCCGGGTCCACATAAACCACCGACATTGGGGGATTGTGCCATCGAACCTCTGATGGCCCACTGTGCTTGGTTTAAGTCGCATGGGCTGGGAAAAACCTCTATATAAACGGTTCAGGATGTATTTACTATTTACCAGGGCACCTGCCAGTCGCGAGAGTAATCCCACATGATGGATTCATTCGAGACACACACCATGCCGAACAGTCCCTCAATTGAAAAAAGTGTGGGAATCATGCTCAAGTGGTACGCTTGCCGTACAATTGAGGTCGGTTTGCACGCCAAAAAGAACCACGTTTGAATGAGAACATGCCCATTATGCAGGTCTTCAAGGTGGATCGAGTTGTGGTAAGAACTTGGAACATCAAGTCAAGCAAAAACTTGTCACCTTGCCCTATGTCTTCCTCCCATCTCTTCAAAGCAGCACATTCTGGACGGGAAAACACTTATGCAAATCACAACCAAGACCTCAAGCAGCAAAACCTAGTAAGAAACGTCATTGCAGTGAAATCAAACAACAACTCGTGACGGATACAGCCAAACGTTTTAAAACAATACAGCTCCCTCCTCAATAGCTTAGCCACTCCATCGACAGCAGCTCTTCATGCCCTGGGACCGCCTTAGTAGAGCATGCTCGGGCGAAAACAGCACCCAAATGCACCCAGGCCCTGCTTGGCTTCCAACAAACTCAACTGAGAGGCCAAGGTCGATTGGCTAAACATGCACATATTAATGAGGTATTTATGTTTTACATAATAACTGTATAGTATACCTATCCCAAACACTCAATGACTCCATGTATAGAGTATATGCCTACATTGACCCCCGATGTAGGCAAATATGTAAGTTCCATGTGTCGTGTCTGGGCATGATTCTCCTTGCGCTGCTGGTGTAGTCTTTCAAGGTGTTGGATTCCCGATCTGGGCGTGCATGTAAAAAACCCTGCTGATTGCCTGGCACCATGGATAGGTCTAGTTGTCCTTCTTTCAGGGGGATCTCCCTATTCCAATACACATCCCGCCAGTGCTGAGGTTCGAGAGTGCTGAAACCGAGCTTCGATTGGCACCCCGTATACAGCCATGACAGCGCTGTCCTACCTCGATGAACGTCCACACCGCCATCGAACCTCTGAGCCCCCACGGTCGACCGACGTGGACCGTGACGGACCGTGACCGTGGAGTCCTTCGAGTCCGCCGACTTCGAGGTCGATCGGATCGCCCGACCGGTCTGGTACCGACGTGAGGTCGAGTCGATGTATGGATCTAGTACCACCCAGTTCGGGTGGTTTATAGATCCCCTGAAGAGGTATGTTCATGTGTTTTCCATCTAATAACCACCCTTTGGGTGGTGCTGGTATTTGGATCTATATGATATATTATGGGACTAAATGATGATCGAGTTTGGCGGACTCCATCACTTGGCGGTTGAAGCCCATTGTTTATCACCCACATGCCCCTGATATACATACCCCATGCACTTTCTCATGCTCACATACACTCAGCACCCTCCCCACCTTCGAGGAGCTCTCGGTAATGGCAGGAGCCGGCATTGCCAGCTCGATTAAACCTCGGTCGACTCGTGACTCCACCGATGTCGACCCTGTCGACACGACCCACCCGACGGACCACCGGACGGCCGGTTGAACCGCCGACGACCGGCGGAGACGGACGACATGGACGAGGTGTAGACCCTGCAATTCTTGGACTGTTTGCCGCGAATCTTGCGGGCGATGGCACCCTGACATCATGTCCTGGCGGATGGAACCCCAATGACCTAATAGTTCATCTGCTGAGAACAGTGAACAAAAAAAACGATTCGATCCAATTCGCAAGGGGACTGAGGGGTGAAGGATTGACTCGCTCATCTTCTAAGCTGCCATGGAGCAGTGGAGTACATGTTTTGGACAAGCACCAAACATCACCAAACACTTGCTCCCTCAAAACAACTGAATAGTTTTTAACCATTCTCCTTTCCTGTGCTTCGGATCACCCAACAATGTCTGGCATTCTCAAGAGATAAGCGTTACAGGCAGCCTTATATATCATCTTACTTGGGTGTCTGCGGTCACAAATTCATTGAACACTGTTGCGTAAGAAATCGTAAGAATATTCCACTTGAACCATCTTGAAACTCTGTGTAGAGTATTTGCATATGTTTGCGCACACTTCCTCAAACAACCTCCATGTCTGGATTGCCATTTACTATAGAGATCCACGAGCTGCATGTTTGTCGATTTTACCTTCGAGATCCTTCAGGCAGAAAGTGCGATTCATGCGAACCGCCCTCAGTGCATTCAACGCAGTTTCAACAACAAAACTCACAAATCAACACTACGCTAAGTGGATCTCTTAGTAGAAGAAAACACCTGTACCGGCTGAGATATTGCGGAACAACAAACGCATATCTGGAGTCGACCCGTTCGGTACCTCGGAAAATGCATAACAGTAATAGGGTCATGTTCCATGTTCATCCATGTTCACCCGGGTACTTGAAGTCGGGTCCAGGTCTGTGCGGTCGCCAGTGCCTTCCGTCTGCACCGAGAAACCCAAAGCAGCGTGTTGCACCAGGCGTCGATGGACGAAGACGTCTGAGGCGTAGTCCCAGATGCGTCCGGTGTCCAGCTGAAAGCCTTGGATGAAACACAAGCGATTTAAGTCATTTTTCTGATAATGGAATTAAGAATACTGCGAAGCTGCAACTGGCGCAGAGCACGGCCCCTTTTCCGCTTCGGGAGATGCTGCTCGGTTTCTACATGCAATGTGAAACAAGTGTAGGTACTGCTCTTCTGGTTTCTGCTGTATGCTTGTGGTTGCTTCTATCTGTCATGACGGGCCGATCGAACGCTTGGCCAACATCTGGGGCCGCCGGTGCTTGGGCCAGTCTTGCCTGGCATTGCGGGACAGCTCACGGTCAACTGCATTCTCATCGAACTTCATGGTAACTCTCACACTGGTTATTCTTTTGTTTGACCTGAGCTGGAATGGTCGTCGTCATCTGCTTGGATCTCTGCGGCCAACTGACTTCTGCGCTGGTGGTCTGCAGGTTTGGCTGCTTTCTCAGCATGTCTCTGAACATTCCTGTTTTGCCTCTGTCTTCTCTTGGTCTCTTTGAGGATTTTATTCTCCTCGGTTTGTACCAATGACATTTGGCCACTTCGAAGAAACTCTTTCAAGGTCTCCTTCTCAGCGTTGGCTTTTGTCAAAACATTGGCAATGTTCTGCATACCATCGATCCAACGAACCAAGGCATTCGGTTGCCTAACCGTCTCCCGCAAAAGGGCGCCCTCAATGGCCATGCGCTTGTCTGTTGAAGTGCTTGTAGCATCTTTCTGCAAATAATCATAAACAGATCTAGCGTCGGTGACATCTACACGAACCCTACGCTGGATAATGCTAGGCCAGTCCTTCAAGTTCAAATCACCTGTCAATGCTTCCTCCAACAAACACGCACACCAATCACCGCACTCCACGGCTTCTGCAAGATGCGACGCCTCTGCTGCTAGGGTCGAACGACAAACACGCTTGGTCTGACCGCTGTAAAAGGTCAAAACATTTGCACGAGCTGCTTTGTCTTCCAAGATCTCTTTGTTTGCTATCAAGATAAAATAGCCACCGACCGATCGGTAACGCATAATTTCATCCTTCTCCGGAGTGCCGTTGGCATGACCGGAATCTGCAAGCAAGATCAAAACTCCATCTCTAAGGTTCACATCCGACCAGTAACGGAGTCGGAAGTCAGCTCCCCTCTTGGCTTGGGCCAAGTACTGCTTCAAGCGCACAAGGTCGCCCACGCAAGCGTCGCCTTTGGCTCTCTGCACAACACCGTTTTCATAAACAAGGTCGCACCTGAGTTGGCGCGTCAGCCATCCAAGTTCACCTGCTCCAGATTGAAATGTTTGAAACTCCTCTTCTGTCAAACTGCTTTCAAGCTGTGTCCTACGAACCTTGCTAATGTGAATGCTCTTGGTGCTCAATGCATAATTGCGCATGCAAACATCAATGTGCCCGTCTGCATGTTGCTTGATTTCACGTCCTCTGAACACAAATTCTCTGTAATGATTTGTTGCAAACTCTAGTGCTTTGCTGCTTCGTTGAAACGCCTTATCAGCAAAATCGGGATGAACTCCACCTTCAATGTCATCCACATGGGTCACTAAAATGCCCCTCAAATGCTGTTGTGGCCCATGTCTCAAGAAAACAAAGCCGGTTCAAGTCTGCTCTGCACCCAACCATCACTCTCAAGATGTCCTTTGAGTGCTACCCAGAAAAGACGTGCTGCCTCGCTGAAACCATAAATTGCTTTCTTCGCACGCAACAACTGTCCAGGAACGAAATTGCCAAGGCCTCCACGAGGCTGCTCCAAGTAAATCTCACGTTCAAGTGAACGCCCGCTGAAGTATGCATTCTTCACGTCTTTGCAAATCATTGTAAAGCCCATATAGGCCGATACTGCAAGACAAATGCTTTCTGCAAGCGAACTAGCTGTCGGTGCATCACGCCTGTAGTAGCCCAAGGATCGGTCCTTGAAACCTTGTACCACAAGCCGACTCTTTGCAAGAAATGGTTGTCCGGGCATGCCTTCCGATTTGTTCGTCCTGACCCATCTGGTCGGAACGATGAGCTCCGGACTTCGTTCTCGTACTTTCTTACTCTCTTCCAAATTCAAAATATCAACTGCCTCTTTCTCCTGCCAAGCTCGCCACTCCTTGTTGTCAGCACCTTGTGGTCCTGTAAACTGCTCTCTAATGTCCTCTGCAACATCTTTCAAGAACAATTCTTTGCGACCACGTTTCTTACCTGCTGCTGTGCCCGGAGTGGCTCCCATTGCAAAATCATACATATCACAATAGCGACTGTTGAAATCATTCCGTTTGATTCCAAATTCGAAAACATCAATGCTGACATCGTGCTCTGTGTAAAAGGCCTCATGTGCATAAAAATGTCTTCTAGCTTCTGAAATCAAATGACCAGTTTGTTCAACAACTAGGTACGCAAACAACCCACTGGCTTGTGCGTCGGCTGAGGTGATCTCTTCTGCACTGCGAAGTCGTTTGCTCTCCCTCTCACGAGCATCAGCGTCTGGATCCTCCGAAATCGCCGGTAAGCGCTTCGGCGACGGAACCGACTGATGGTAGTCGTCCACGTCTGGATCATACTCAGCTCTTGGAATGGGAACGCTAGCTGCTTCAAACTGTCGAGCCGCCTCTGACTGTTGAAATCGCTGTCTCCGTTCTTCTTGACGATGAAGTCTTTCCTCACGCTTCTTTGCAAAGAACTCTGAAGACTTTATGGCTTTCTTGGCGTCTCTCTCGGATTCATATCTCATTCGAGCCATCGACAGAGAATCTGAAGATAAATCCTCTGACTCTGCTGGCGGCTTTAACGATGGCGCCAATAGTTCTTCCGCAACGGGTGGTGCCTCCAAATGATCCCCTGGGTCAGTCGGTTCATAGAGCTCCTCATCAACCTGTGGCATCGGCTGGTCCAAAAGTGGTCTAGGCAAATCTTCCAACTCTTCGGTTTCTGGTTCATAGCCATCTCGGGATGGCTTGGGTTGCTGCCGTAGATCAACAAAGGTGTTGCCACCCGCGGCTGGTTGTGTATCAAGAAGCTCAACCTCTGAACCAACAACACTCCAGTTCTGCACTTCATGGTCGTCTGCAAAGGCTAAATGCTCTGGGGAAACTGCAAGAATAATGCCACGATGTGCTATCCAAACAGTGTGTGTGCCCTCTTTTCCAATGACTCTTGCAACACCCCTCCAACACGCTGGTCCGGGTACGGTGTCCGAGGCATCGAAATAAAAGACATACCTCCCAACATCGAAAGGTCCTCGGCTAGGTTTGACCTTCCGAAGTTCTGCACGTTTCAGGGCTTCTGAATTGCTGACTTGCATGAATGCCTCTCTTGCTGCAAACCTAAGCTTGGTCTTGAGGTAGAACTGGTTTGAGGGGTTCATGGACAAAGACAATGCTCCAAGGCGGACAGCTTCGGAATCCTCTGTCAGATCTGTGGGTAACCGAATGGACTTCCCGAGTACCCACTGTGATGGACTAAAGCCTGACTTCCGAACCAAGTTGTTCTTTGCACTGTTAACAGCGCTTGTTGCATGAAACATTTGGTCCCGACCTGCAAGCTGTTCACACCACACTATCCTCTTGAGGATTGACTTCCAAATATGGCCATGTCTCTCGACCTGTCCAAGCTGCCACGGTGAGGCCCGTGCCGCACAGTCAAAATCACACCCTGCTGCTTCCATCGCTTGCGCGAACTCTGAAATGAAATACTTTGCTCTATCACTGAAAACACCGTATTCGGGGTAACCTGCCCAACTTGTCCAACCTATCTCAAAAGCACGCAAAACCGCCTCCGACGTGGGATTGAAACTGGTGTCGTCCAAAAGAACGCAAATCTGAAAGGTTGTACCCTGACACAAAATGTTCAACCAAGACCATGTGTGCCCATCTGCGTCTCTGGCCTGCAAAATATCAATGCCCACATGAGTGTTAAACTCCTCTGAAAGCGGAAGCTTGCTAGGTCTAGGTTTCTTTGGCAACTGAACCCTAGGACAATCAACACATCGAAACAAACGACATGCTCGGATTGCCACTTCCGAAGCCCTGCTCACACGAAGTGCCTTTAGCATTGCCGGAACTGGTGCGTGTCCAAGATTAACATGAACTCGTCTGATGGCCAGCTTCAACTCACGAGGAAGCGACTGCCATCTCTGCTCGCGCAGTCTCTCTCTCTCACCAGCCCGTGGATCTGACTGTGGCTCCACGTGGGGGTCTTCTCCAAGGGGTTTGCCAAAACAAATGACACAAAGTTGCCGCTGTTGTGCCACCAAAGGTCGGGTTTGTGAGGTTGGTGCAAGCTGCGCCCAGTCTTCCCAAGCTGTGCTCAAACAAACACGGTTCTTTAACAACAAGTTTGCTTTGCGAAGTGGTGCTTCTGCCGGTGAAAGAAAAGGCTGCGGCTTCCTCAACCTCCTGGCGTTTGAAGACACTAAAACAAGTTGTAGTTCTGCGTTTGCTGATTCATGCGCTAACCAATCATGCCCAAGGTCCTCCCCAAGGGGAAGAATCTGCCAATCTGAACCTCCATGGTCTGTCAACCAATCTCTAGTCCTTTCCAATAAACTCTGAAAATCAACTGAGGAAACTTGGTGCCAAAAACCACGTTGAAGCTGCCGAGTCCTAGGGCGTTTCCGTCTCAAGGCTCCTCCACCGCCTGGTGTCTCCGGCGCCGGAGTCATGGGCGCCGCATCCGCGGCCGGTGTAAAAGGTGCCGGGGTCTCTGGTACAGCTTCTGGCATGGCCTCATCTTCGGCCATTGGCAACAGCTTGATCTCAGTCGTTCCAAGCCAGGAAAGTTGACCACGTCTGAATGGGTCTTCAGGACTGGTCCATTCATCAACATGCTCCTTCTCAGTGCCGTCCTCGAACTGCATCTTGGACGTGCGAGAAGGTAGAAGCCGATGAAAATCACATGGAAGCTCCTCAACACTCATGGGCGAGAAAAGTGCCTTTCTAGGAAAAACATGGTGCCTGATCATGGATTCTGGTTGAAGCTCCCAATAGTCCATAGTGGATTCATCACCGATCACTTGGATCTCCGGTTCTTCGGGCTCATCAACCTCCATCGCTGGATAACTCAACTCTTCGGATGTCCGTGCTGCATAGTCCAAAATCATTGATTTCAAAACTGCTTCACAAATTGCTGCACAAACACCAAGGGGGTATGCGGCTGCTTGAAGGGAACGTTTGCCAAACTTGTTTGAACCAACAACCGTCTGGTGTGCGCCAAAACTGCACTTGCAACGACGACCCAATGCATTCAAGATGGGCTCATTGTTTGAAAGCCATCCTGTTGGTTTCATGATGGGCCGCCCGCTCTCCCGGTCCACTTTGCCGTATCGGCACTGATCGCCAACAACAAATTTGCCTCCAAACTCTTCTGTCAACAACTGAGCCAAAATCGACTCGTAGGGCCATGCCTGACTTCCTGCTGGGTTCTCAATCAGATAATATCGAAATTGCTTGTGCTGATGCTTGCAAATCGAAACAACCAATTTGAGTGTCTGTTTACCCACTGTACTGCGCAGGAATTCAAGAAAACTTGAGTGCCCTGTTGCTGAACAAAGGTTGTTTAGCAAACTCCAAATCCGACAGTCGAAAGCGATGATGACCAGGTAAGGCCTATGCTCATGCAGTGTCCTCCAAAGAAGTCGTTGGCCTTTGGAAGAAAGAAGATCGAAACCATCTAAGGCATCCAGCGGTTGGGAATTAGTCCAACCGAAATGTTCAGCCCCATACCTTGTCACTCCAAAACTGCCACCCCACGGTTCGAAGAGTACGGTAGTCTGAAATTGATTTGTTGCTGCTTGCTCTGCAAAACTGTAGCTTCTCTTCAAAGCTATCCAAGTTCGTTTGTCTTGGATCTGAATTTGGCGGTGTGCCAACTCAAGCTCTTTCCTCCTTCTCTCATGCAGTTCACCTCGCGGATCTTTTGCTCGCACTCCACGTGGTCCAAGCATCAAAGCGACTTCCTCCTTGGCATGTACATCAAGGTCCTGTGCTGAAGTTCGTAAGACCGGTAAGGCCTCACAGATCTGGTAAGCCGCTTCTTCTGTCAGGTAAATGAACAGATCTTCATTGGGGGAAACGAGAGCTGGTCCTTGTCCTGAAGTCAACTGTGGCACTGTCGACAATGATAGTCCTCGCGAACTAGTCAGGTCGATGGCACGGTGCTTGGTGCGAGTCATCAAGATCTCAACATCAACACCCAATGCTCCTATATGAGCTCTGCGCTGCTTCAGAAAAAGGTCCATCTCCAGTGAGTCCATAGAGGTCACTGAAAGGAGTAGTGGTGTAGAGCCTGTTTCAACTTCTGCCGACATCACCTCGCCTCTTCGTCCTCCAAGCAAAATAGGAATCTTCCACACCTTAGCTGGAGCACTGGAGCCATCTGCGAAGTGGAACGTCTTGACATTCGAGGTCTCTTCGCAAGTGACTCCTGGCGGAAGATGGCGCGAGTATGCAACTCGCCATCGCCGGCTGTGCATGCAAGAGGTGCATGCCGTGTCAAGCAAGCAAACTCTAGATTCGTCTAGCTCTCCAGGAACTGCATCCATCTGGTGAAACTCTGTGCTCGCAACATCTTCCAAAGCTGAATTCTCATCAAGGGCCGTCGCATTGGGCTCAGTGCTTTCTAAATTCGGTTCATGCAACTCAGGGCCGTTTGCATAGGCAAAATGCCTCGGCCCGCTCTCTTGGCTTCTAGCCGCGCTGTCGGAGGCGCAAGGCCTCCCGGGACATGTCGATGCCGTGGTGGTAGTTGATGGTGTGTCGGCATCCAGTCCTTGCAAAGCGCGAGCAACCAAAGAACTTCGAACCGTCTCGGCGGTTCTCTCGTAGCAACATGTCTCCACCGCAAGCTGAGCAAGGAACATCATGGAGAATCTGGCCAATCTCCCTTGGCGTAAAGCCCACCGGTTCGCTCTTCGATGGGGAAGGTGATGCCATCGATGTAGATGCGGCAGGAGGTCGAATAAGTCCTCGCTGCTCCATGTCCTGAATGACTGGGTCTGACTTGTCCCTCCGAAAGGAACGACGATCTGGGCTCTCATACACTGCCAACGAAGATGCCTCATATCCTCCACCTGAACCAACTCCTCGCTCACTGGATCCTGAAGGCAACGGTGGTGGTGCTGTATGCGAGGCTACCTCCAAAGTCTTGACCTTTGGCGAGGGGGACTCATAGATCGGGGTCTTCATCCCTGGCACTTCCTCCTCCGACAACATGACGAACTGCTTGCTGCAGCCCTTGCGAGCCACGGGATGTCCTTGAAACAAGGTAGTCAAACGCTGAATCAACTCCTTCTTGGTGCCCGACACACGAATGCCCCAACGCTCACATTCATCTTGAAGCTTCCTCACCGTCATCTCCTCCAAGTCTGGCTTCAAGGTCGCCAGGTTGAGCACTGGAACAATGCTCACATCCGACTTCTCGACACGAACTGGACTCTGAAGCTGCCGCCGGATCACGGTGTCACGGGAAAGAGGATCTCCGGACTTCGGTGAGGTAGTCGGTGAATGCGGCATGCGGTCACCAACCAAGGCCCATGGAGCGTCGTTCTCACCATCGTAGGTGTACACACTTGCTGCCTCCTCAGGCTGTCGGACCTTTCGACGATCATCTGTCTCCGTGTAGCCTGAGTCTTGCTCCATGTGATGCTCATGCTCTGAGGTCATGTAGGCGGTCACGTCATTGCCCACATTGAAGTCGTCATCGTCCAAAGTGAAGAACAGGGGTCCATCTGAAACCAAATAAGCCTTGCCGCCGTCCTTCTTCTTGCCCTTCGACTTGCCTTTGCCACGATGCGGACCTGAGGTCTTGCTGGACTTTTGGCATTGAGCGTCACCTGCCCAGTGCCCAATCTTTCCACATGCCGAACATCTTGTCCGTTCCTTCTCTTTCTGAACTGCAGCTCGTCGTTGTTCAAAGGTGAGCTCACCCTTGAAGAAGCCACGTTGTTTCTGAACTTCACGAAGCTTTCGACGAGACTCCTGGTATGAACGGCGCTGCTTGTCCATGGCACTGAAGGCTTGGTACACCTCCTCATCCTGCGAAGCTCCAACGTCCGAACCTTCCTCCTCCATCTCACCGGCCTCATAGCCGTAGTCCTGGTACTCTTCATCCTCACGGACCATGTAGGACTCATACTCAGTCATGAGGTCATTCTCAAAATCGTGCTCATACTCAAAGGCCTGGTCATTCGATGAAGCTGCTTCATACACAAGGGCCTCCTTGTTCGGTGTGTCTCCGTCATCGACCAGGTGAGCATAGTGGCGCTTCTGAGTCTTTCCATAGCCCTTGCCGCGCCTGTCGTCATGAAACTTGCTGATCTTCTCCTTCTCATGGATGTCATAGTACGACACACGCATGGCCTTCTCGATGGACTCGAGGTTGTAATCGGAACCACTGTTGAGCAGGATCTGTCGCCTGTCATCTTTGCTCAATCCACTCTGCTTCAAAACAAAATAAGCCAGCAAATCCGAGGACATCTTGGTCTCACTATCAAGCTCCTGCAACTCTGCCCAGTCCAACTTCCGTGAACGAAGGTATGCATCTAAGGCCTGTCCTCTCTTCCTGAATCCCCGCTCAAAGAAGCGGTCGAACTGCTCGGTCTTCTTGATCACGGTCACTTTCTCAATCGACTGCAGGGCTGACAAAACATGCTGAAAACCACGCTCCTCCGATAACTTGGCCATATCTGTGATGAGGTCCTGACAAGCACGCCAAGCTTCTCCATGAAGACCGTTCAGCAATTTCTTGGCGAAGGCCTTTTGTTTCTTTTTCAAGTCCCTCTTCTCTTTCTCTTCTGTGTCTCCATCGCCCTCTAAGGAGCTGTAGGCGAAGAGGACTCTCTTCCTGTATTCTCGCATGAGCTCAGGCCTATTGCCGGTATAGTGCGGAATGCCTTCACGATCGACGACTATTTCGTCGTCCTTCCAGAAAACGGAGCCGCCGGATCCATTGCCATTTGCCATGGCGCGGGAACCGGCTCCGCTACCAGTGCGAAGCTGCAACTGGCGCAGAGCACGGCCCCTTTTCCGCTTCGGGAGATGCTGCTCGGTTTCTACATGCAATGTGAAACAAGTGTAGGTACTGCTCTTCTGGTTTCTGCTGTATGCTTGTGGTTGCTTCTATCTGTCATGACGGGCCGATCGAACGCTTGGCCAACATCTGGGGCCGCCGGTGCTTGGGCCAGTCTTGCCTGGCATTGCGGGACAGCTCACGGTCAACTGCATTCTCATCGAACTTCATGGTAACTCTCACAAATACTGTAATAAAACTATTAAATGAACTTTAAACAAACACATAAGTCATTACCTTTTGCACAGTATATAATTCGGGTGACTCGATCAGGTGAAAAAGGTACCTATAGTGGATCGAGGCAAACCACTAGAAACCACTGGTAAGCAGTGTTTCCAAAGACTAAAACCAAAGACTGAACAACACCCTGGAAACGCACCACTTATAGTTACTTGGTTTGGGTTTAGTCAAATGTTTCAGACACATGACTCTGGACAAAGACAACGTGAAACGAACCTTAAGGAGGCCCATGTATTCATGCCCACATCCAATGATGAGTGCAGGGGGGAAAATCGAAACTTATATACTCCCCCAAGCAACTTGAATGTCTGATGTGAGGTGTGTGCCTTGGAGATGCTCAGTGCTTCGGATTGGCAAACAGGCATAGATTCATAGGCCCAGTTCAACGCTTGGCCAGTACACCCGGTTATTATTGATATTATTGAAGAATGGAGAAAAAACACAATTGTGGTCAGGGGTGTCTAATATGGTTCTGGGTCAAAACCAGGATACCGACTGGTTGACCTATACCTCTTCAGGCTCTTCAGGTCAAACTGCATGGTGGACGGGTCGGGCTCGAACGATCTATCCGTCCAAAACCACCCAAACTCCGTGACTTTCCACCCCAAGCGGCAGAAGCGGTGCCGGAACTCCGTGGCATGATCTTTGGCGTGGGCATCCTACCAAAACGAAAAGGCGCGAGGAGGGACATCTATTGATGAAACTGAGGAAAGCGGACTTTGTCATGGGTGAAACTGTGGGGCCAAAGGGGTCCGGCTGAGACAGTCTCTGGACGCCTTCAGGATTTGATGGTGGAAAACCCCTGCCAAATCGTGCTTGCGGACAAGCCCTTTTGTGTGCCGATGTCGTGTGGTTCATTACTGATTTTTCTAGTTATTATTAAACATTATGTTGCATTTATGTTAAGCTATTTGTTGACATGCATTTTCTGTTCATTCACAAAAGATCACAAAAGCACGCAAGCTGTTCTCCTCCTTCGGAACTCTAGTCCCCCTGGTCCAGATATGATACCTGATCAGGATGCCAACCTCGTCACTGGCATCTGCCAACACTGCCAACAAATGGAGGCGCTCTACTGTATGTGTCTCGGTCTTGTGTTCTGCCGTGCTCCTGAGGCGGTTCAATGTCTCTTTGAGTCTGCCAAATCGTGGACTGGGATCTATCATCTATCTCTGATCCACTCTCATCTCCTGAGAACACAATGCTTCCCAGAAGCAAGTTCAACGTCATGCTGCTCAACTGGCCCTGCCATCTTGTAGCTTCAACTCTTTACGTTTGGATCCATTCAATTTCCACCTTCCACCCCCGTCTCGGCTCCGGAGACGGAAGCCACCGGTCACACGCCGCTCCTGGTAGCGACCGCAGCCCAAATGACCACAGATGAGGCCTCGGTCCCGGCGAAACGGGTGACGTCACCCGTTCGAACGGAAGCGGTGAATTTCACCCCTGAGGCGGTGGATTTCGTCGAACACCCCGATCTCTCCAGATCTCTTGTTGTAGGAAGGCGGGTCGTTTCTGGCTTTTCAGTTGGAGCCCGGAACTGAAGCAACTGAAGCAAAGGGGGATGGGTTCTCCGTGGCCAATTCCCAAAAATCAAAACAGTTAAATGTCCAGCATTCCACCATTTTTTCAGTTTCTTTTGGTTCAGAATGAGCCCTAGCGCCTGGGTGACCAAGCTCAACTCTGCAGCATTACCACCATGCAAGACTCATGATTCAAGGGCTTCATGACGCACAATGAAACAACTTTGTCTATGCACGAGAAAATCGTGAAGTGGAGGTAAAGCCTGAAACGACGGGCAAGATTGTAACGACAAGTTTTGAAGGTCTTAACAACTCTACGTAGTAAGTGAGGTTGTACAAGCAGCATGCATCAGCATGCTTTTGGAACCACCTTATAGAAGGAAGTCATCTTGCGAACCGAATCTCCCAGGTTGCTTTATCACTTCTGGTGATGTAGTGATGGAGGAGTACAAATACCGTTCGCTAATTTGTTGTTTACATGCATCATCTAGTGGATATAGGCACTGCCATTTAGCGTGTCGCGTGTTGATTCTTGGGGTGACCCCAAAAACTAGGTCAGGATTCATGCAGCCCAGAAGCAAACCCATAGCTCATCTTGCTTTTCGCAGCCTAGGCGCACGCTCCCGGAGAAGCTGAAGGGGAGCATGTTGATCGCCATCGATCGACATGTTGTTCTATCTTGCGCATGTGCCAAAGGCAGTCATCTGGGATATACTCCATCTTTTATTTAAAAGCCGAAAGTTCTAAGAATTCGAAGCCGTGACATCTCACTGAGGTCCTCAAGGCACTGACTGGTAAAACCGCTGAGGTCCCTGACTGTCGCTTCTGAAGTTACAACATGCCGAGCGAAGAATTGGCTTCAGCGTGGTCCAACCATGCCGAGCTACCCAGCTACCCTCTCACTGAACATATTCTTTCACGTTTCCAAAAGGTTTTCCTATGAGCGGAGCCCTACAAGGCCCTATATGTTTGCTATTGTTTGCTGTTTGTTTGGTGCTTGGTCTTTTTTCGGAGGACCCAAGCAGTTCTCTCCCTAGATTCTTAGGAGCCGGTCATCACTTGCGCCGAACCCAAGGCACATTCGCATTGCAAGGTGGCTGTGGCACGCCGGGCCTCCGTCCCTCGGTGTGGGACCGTGCGGACAAACGACGGACGAGACGGAGGAGAACGGGGGGACCCCCGTGGTTCCTTCCAGTGTTTTAAGCAAGATTGATGGGTGGTCATCGCAAGTCATCGCAAGATAAGCAAGGTTTAGTACATTATGGATGCATACATCACTAGTATACAGGTTGCAAACTATAAGCCAGGACTAGGACTTATCAATCTATTTACCCGCTCTTTAGGGTGGCTATGAAATGCTATGAATAGACACCACGGCCACGAATTGGGGCCAAGTGCCTCGACTTTGGCCACGTATCACCCTGGTGGATGCCTGAGATCCAGGCGTACTGAGCATATTGCCATACAGTTTCAGTTGTGATTATATTTTGTTCAATGACTCTAGCAGTTCAAATGCATTCAATCATAAACCCATACAAATTCGAGATGTCAGTGCTCCAACCACCTTCTGAAAAGTACTGAGGTAGGCTCTGCTACATAACTATACCTTCTAAGCATAGAATAGCTGAGCATCAAGGGGTAAAACCCCATCCCCTGAGAGTTGCTAGCAGGCAGGTTTTTTTCTTAAATAGTTGGACCCTTAGATCTTGAATCTCTTCATATCTACCACAAAACACACCTCTCCCAGACCTCCCCATGTCTTGCGCACACGGGAATCAACAGGATGAGTCAATATGAGTAGCCAGAAAACAACCTACAGCACATATACCACGGCCGCCTGCAGGGTGTCTATTGATAGCCCATCAGAGGTTAAAGGGGTATCCAATGACCATCCCCTATAGGTCCTGGTTGTATAGTTTTACGTCGACTGCAGATTTCCCGAAGTTGTTCAACCCAACCGGACATCCATTCACAAGCCCTTTTGAAACAAATCATTACTCCACAACTAGCATGACTATAGACTATATATACCTGGATCCTCCTTTGGGCAGAAAAAGTGCCGGACCTCAATCCGGCAAAATTTTCCGCCGGATTCCGAAAAAAAACGCCGGAGATCTGAAAAAACATCCGGATCCAAGATTCCGAAGAACCGAGATGATAAAAGGTTGGATCATACACAAGGAAACGGCCTTTGCGCCACGAGTAGTTTTTCTGGAGCACACTCATTCCACAGCCCAGCACTGGAGCCTTCCCGTTCCCATTCCCCTCGCCCATCTTCCGAATGGCCTAAGAGCAGAGCCATCACGAAACATAAGCAACTTGTGCCCAAGCAAAGACTTCCAAGAAGAAACCAAGGAGTCTTTCTCTGCAGCCGTGTCTCTAAAGTTTTCTTACAAAGTGGGTTGCTCTCCATGGTTCTTATGTTTTTTAATGTTTCTTTAAAGCTTGCCTCAGGACGGCCCCCACAATAAAGTAGCAGAACTCATGGTTCCTGTCAAAACTCTTCTTTGAAAAACTTTTCAATATCCGTCAAAATCAAAGCCTGCAGAAGACTCAGTCAAAAAAGATGCGCCGGAGTTACGGGAAATTACGCCGGAGTTACGACGCGCCATTTTTTGGCAACTATCTGGAAAACATTGAGATTCTGAACAACACATGTTCCACAGCCCAAAACTTGTCCGGCAGGCTCTGCAAACCTGCGCAGCTAGAACTATATCCCAGCACCCCGACATCCTGAAACAATGGGAGTACATTTTTGCCTATGTTCTTTCAGCTTATGTACACCCACTTGGGTCTTTCAACGCGTGCATCGCACTGTACCGATTTCATCAATTTAGAAGATCACCTAAAGGGATCTGATTGATCCAGTGTGAACCATGCTGAAACCGGTGGAATGAGAAAACAGCGGAACAGGCAAACGAGCACACTTTGTATACAAAATCATTGCATCAGTAGTGGGTTTACCTTCAAAGAAATGCGGACCACAAAGAACGCAAAGCCTTGAGAATCCGCATAAAGTGACTTTCAATAACTGCCAGACCAAATCCAGAAAAAACGCCGGAGTTGGAAGTCCGGCGCCGGACCCTGTAAAAGTGCCGGACTGAAGATCTAGGTATATTATATAACTACGTGTCGCCCCCGTTGTGTACGCCGCACACCGGACGCTTCCGTCACCAGGACGCTTCCGTTCCCATTGGTGGCCGCAATCACCGCGCAGGCCGTGCAGGTGGGCGGACGCGGTTGTCGCTCGTCCTCAGGGATTGTTCGTCGATTCCTCGGTGTTTTCGACGTAAAGAAAGGCCCAGTGCGTGTAGACACCCAAGGTGTCTGCCCCATAGGTGTCTGCCTTTGATAGTGTTTTCCTATACGTCTTTCCAGGTCTTTAAAGGAAGACCTATGCGAACGTCCAACGCGATGGGTAGACTGATCTATGTTCCGAAGCTTGCAACCAAGCTGAGACATAGCGCGCGTGAATAAAACCTAAACCATGCAAAGTAGAATGCGTGCAAAGCAATCAGACGCTCCCAAAAACAAGAACCACTAAATGTGACTCAGTGAAAGAAACACGTGGAAGTGCATCATTGCACAAACTAGAACCGCGCAGCCTGACCATTTGCGAACATGGTGTGTGTTCACGATGGTAGGCAAATTGATGGCAAAAGCCATTTCACCCATCAACAGACCCAAGCAACATCAAACAATCCATTGGACTGACCCTGTGTGAATTTTAGTCCATTCATGGAATGTCTGGATATGAATCCAACGACCTGTTCCAATGGTAGGGATGAACCCTTCAGTCAACTGAAGCTTGCCTAACCATCTTCTCAGTGTATATTGTGAATATACAACGTAGTTTGTGTTGTTTGTGTCGTAGAACGAACATGTTCCATATTGCTCTATGTTGTTCTAAGATGTTCTCGGCCAGTCTACTTGTGCTCAGTAAAAGAAAACAATGACACAGTGGACAGTGGCTTCCAGAGGCAAATGTCAGTTTATGATCTTTCACCAGTGGCCCTCGGTGAGTCATGGTCTCACAACAACATAATAGCAATAATCCAAATCACAATTCACACACCCAAACACATCACATGAAAACATCGCCAACAAATCACACCATCATCACCAATCACCCCCGACTGTTCGATGCGTTTTGCAGGTCAACGGCTCGAAAAGCCCCCGGCTCTGACCCCTCAGTCCCCACCCGCGGTTGCCCCCCTCACCCGCCTGATGTTCAGCGATCCAGCCATGTGAGTGGGTCACCAGGCCAGTGCCCGACACATCAATGCGTTCGATGCACACCTCGACCGCTCGGCTCAGGCGCGAGCGGAGCCGCCCCAAACAGACCGCCCTATACCGTAGACCAGACCAAGACCCACGGGAGTTGGGTGGTTCATGGTAGGGGTCCTGGTCAACCATGCCAGTCCTGCCTGGGTTTCCATGAAGTCAAGGGCTGTCTGTCTGTCCAAGTGGATGGCACGGATGGAGGGATTCTCAGAACGATCATTGCAGAACCACTTGCAGAACCGACTCACCGAACTCCCCTTGTCAAAACCGCTCGAATTCCACGCACCGCTCGCGTCACCGCGAAGCTCGAAATCCGTGGCGCGTTTTTTTGACCGCGTTGGTTGCGCCAAACTCTTCGTGTGAAGAAAAACACCAACACGTCTGAAGGGGCGTGAGGTGACTTGCCTTTGCAGCATGGGGTGTCATGGTGATCTGCAGTCGAAATTATCGATGTGAGGTTTTCCTGGAAAAAGCGCCTCATCCCCACCCTGGAAGGCCTCATCGGCCCTCATCCACGTCCACTGTGCCGCCGTGTGACGTGAACTTGAAGGTCCGGGATTCGGAACGTGTTGACGATGCAAAAACCGGCTCCGACCCTCTCGTCATCGGGGCATAATAGGCCAGTCGCATGGTACAATGCAGAACCAATATCCCAAACCCAGACACTCCATGTATGGCATGTATGCCTACATTGACCCCCCAAACTACCCCAACTGATCGGCATATGGAGTGTCTGCATGGGAAATAAAGTCACGTCACACGGAATGAATCTGACGTGCTGCAGATCACATGGACCATCCCATGGACCATCCCATGCCGAAACAAGCGAGGACGGTTTTTGCAACGCGTGCACACGCACCCGGTTTTGGGATTCCTGGTGGAAACCGCGAGCACTGTACTGGGATCTCAGGATCATGTGAATTGATCGTTGATCCGATTTCAGGCACTGGTTGAAAATAGTAAGCTGCAGAAACAATGCCCTAGGGCTAGGTAGGTGGTTGAGAACAGCTGTTCCCGAAAGCTGCACTCGATCTCCAAGCAACTGGACATGACGGCACCTCATAGGCAGTGCTCGGAATCACCGCCTGCGAGTGAACGGGGAACGGTGGAAGGGTGGAGCACGAACGGTCAGGACCACACCTGGACTAACAGAGCTTACCGAGCTTCAGCGGGGCAAGTGGGGCCCTCAATTCGGGTTGCACTCAAGCCATCCGACGTGCGACGTGGATTCCTAGTACGTGTTTAATCGACTTTTGTGGTGTAAGACCAAGTTTTCGCATGACTTCCTCCAGGAGGAGGAGCCCTCCCTCAAGTCGCTCTAAATCAGCTCAAAAGAAGGAGTATGTAGGGGAGGCTCTGGGCAGTAGAAGTGTAACTTGTAACATTGCGTCAATCCCCACAAGTCCAAAGATACAGTAAAAGCTGGTCTGTCCTTCGACTTCATTGAACCCTGTGTTTTGAAGATCAGATCTCAGTCAAATGAGATCGTCGACCTGTAGGGTATGTCTACCCTTGCGATTGCAAGGTGTCCGTTTACTGGAACCATGTTGGCCTGGTACCAAGCGTAACTAGCAGCTCTGTAAACCTGTGAAGACAGAATGCAAAACAAGCTCCAAGACGAACTGTATCGGGCCACTGCAAAACCAGCTGTCCACCAATTGGTCTAAGGTGAAGAGGCCCTGGAGGGGGTTGCACAAAACAAGAGCAACAAACCAGGCAAAGAAGGTGGAGCGGCCGGTGAGTAAAACCCTAAAAGACTCTAAATTCAGAATGCTACCAGCTCGAGCAGTTGCCATCCTCCACCCAACCAATAAGACACAATGTCACTGAATCAAAACAGCCCGAACTCAGAACCAAACGAACATAAGAACATGTTTATAGACCATGGTCAGAGGACACATCATCTGGAAAACCCTGAAAACTGATCCTTTGATTAAGAGAAATCCTCTCTCTCTCTCTCTCTCTCGCTCTCCAGGCTATCTTATCTGGGATCCAAACCCAGCCTGGGATTAAGAAAAACTGACACCCCATCTTGAGGCTACTCTCCTTGAAATAATCATGGACGTGGATGTCACCAGTTATTTGTAGAGGAACATCCTCTTCCCGAAGGCCACGTCATATCATCTCATCTATATACCCATGATTCTTCCAGCCCTCTTGACTTGGATTTTCTTAAGGAAGGGTAAAATGTATACCCTCCCTCCAACAAACATGGAAGTGGAACATGGCCTCTTGGAAGACTGTTTTCTTTTACTAAACCGGTGGTTTACCCACTTCCATGATTGTTTCAGCGAGAGTATATGAAACCTAAACATCCTGAGATGCGGGGATTCATCCATATATTGGGACCATGAAGCAACAAACCGTATCCCAAACACTCCATGGGACTGCCAAAAAACAAACCGCCCCAGACAGACCCCGACTTCAACCACCCCTGGCCGTGAAACGGGGCAGTCCGTCCTGGCAGTCCCAGACGTGTCGTGTTGTATGCAAATCCAATATGGCAGACCCCTGCTCCTTCACCCAAAAGCCCCCCCCCCCCGGACCCCTTCGGCTTCCGCTTCCGTCGCCTCCGGTAGCTCCGACTCCTCGGTCGCTCGAGCTCCGCCCTCCGCCAGCTCGTCGGACTTGCTGCGGGTGAGTTCCCAGGGCTCCCGGGAGTAGACCTGGGCTCGAGTGAGTGGAGCTGGGCTCACGACGACCACGACTGTCTGGTAGACCCTGAACTGACCTTTTCTCATCCTGGTCAGGAAGACTGGTCTACCAAACTCTTCATTCTCGATCTTGTGACCGTGGTGACTGAAGGCGGAGACCTGACCGAAAGAGCTCGACCTAGTCCGTCAACCTCTGTGGGGGAAGACCACCCTCCAAATGTCTTGACCCGGAAGGTCCGGAAGAAGCCCGGCTTCGTCCACCCGGCCGAAGGACCCCTAAAAGGGGGCGAGGAGCCGAAAAAGGAGTGGCGCGTTCCGACCGGGTTTTCCATCTTTTCGTTTAGGTCCAAAAGCTTCCAAAAACGAGGCTCCGACCCTGTTGGGCTTCCAGTCAACAGGAGGACGTGAGCGGATACCCGAACCGCGGAAACGGCCCGATAACCCGTGAAGCAGCGAACACGAGCAGCGGAGAGCCGGTTTGGTTGGGGTCCAAGTACGTTGCCCATTCATAGGCTTGAGTCAAGGCAATGTAAGCAGCTTGCTTTGAGGTTTAGTCATGAGGTCAAAGTAAGCAGCGAAGCCGTAAGTTGGGGCTCCAGTGTTTTTTGTTTTTTGTTTTAAATCAAGCAAGGCAATGAAGGTCAAGCTGCCAAGCTTCTTATTTCCAGGAGGGTCCTCTCCACTGCTGGTCGAAAGAGGAGGCGGCTGGTCCAACAGTATTACAATCTATGATTATATATTGTGGCTTGCACCATATTTGGTTATCTTTATCATCCATCACCTATCAGAATTCTCTCCAAACCTTCAGGGTCTGCTGGAGCTTTTGGGCCAGGTTTAACACCATACCACAAGCAACTCGTTAACGCCCAAAGCCAGTGGACGATGGCTTCCAAGAACGCCAGGTAGCAGCACGGTCCTGCCGTTGGAAAGCGGGGATGATGCTCCCAGCAACAGAAGAACCAACCACGGTCAATGGCCACCAGCCATGTCAGGCGCACACATCTGGTCTGGAAAGACCATCGACCATGGTCAGGCCATAGCTGTGTGTATGAAGCTGCAAAAGGCCATGGGGTATGAGATGGATACCCTGAGGATTCAACCTAAGGAAAGCTGATATAAGGAACCTGCATGAATCTTCCCAGCGCTTCGGCAAAGCGCTCGAACCCGTGAAGGTTATAGACGTAAATAGATACGTTGGAAAACATGGAAGAAAAACATCAGTGGCAAAACACATGCGTGGCTGACAGTCCGATGCTCCAAAGAAAGAAACGCAATGACACATATAGCCACTAGCAAGTGAAGCTAAATCATGCTTAACCCATGTGCTTTCCATCCCGATGTTCAGTCAGGATACTCTCAGGTTCATTGGAAAGAACCCTTCTGATCTCCTTTGACCAACCTTTCCCCAGCCCAGTCAGGCCTCATTGGGTCACCAATCGGGTGTTGAAGCCCTGATGTCCGTCAGATTTTCCGAAGAGGCTCCCCAAAGGGTCTTCTTTGTGGTCTTGGATCTTCTGGCTTAACCTTTAGGGATCTTTAGGGGTCCAGTAGAAGATCAATTCATTCCTTATGTACATGTATGAGCCCAAGCGGCTTTTTCGGTCTAAGGGTATGCCTTTAGGGAGGTATATAAGGATTGAGGAAAGGCACGAACATCTACAGGAGATGGAACATCTTCTGCAGTCTTTCATGCCAGGTGGTATCAGTCTGTTTCTTTCTTCAACAGCACAACATAGCACCACAACACATCCCAACTCCCTCGAAAAGAACCGCGCCTTTGTCATCGCCTGGGTCGTTGCTGTGAACAAATCAAAACCTGGAAGTGGCCTTTGTCTGCCACGATCAAATTAAAGAGGAAGGTTCCGGCTCCCTGTTGCATCGGGAATATGATGGAATATGGATACTTCCAGCTCCTAATCGCGTCCTCCTGAGCAACAGCTAGTAAAACGCCCAAGAATGAAGAATCAAAGCCGAAAGCCGCCAGCTTGTGCAGTTGGCCATCGCAAAGAGGCAAAAAGAAGTCTCCCCCCGCTGAGTAGCAAAAAGGAAGGGCCTGTGAAGGATGAGGGATTCTGATGAGTGTACTACCCTCCACTTCTGGATGTGATATCTGGATGGTCCACAAATAGAAAGTGGCATGGTATCCAAAACATGTAAACGATATGTTTGGCGGGGATCTACTAACTTCTATCTATTTCGGGACTTTTTTGGGGGTCTATATATGGATGGTGAAGACATGAAGTGAACAACGGTGATCAACGCTTCGACCTTAGAATTTTGACTCGAGGATTCGGATCTGGGCACGTCAACCCACATCCTCCACTCCACGTCATCCGGTCGCCAAGTCCTCATCGGCCGTGCGCCAGCACCACAAATCGCGTCGTTTCGTTTTTCCGTCCCACGGCCTCCACCTGTCACTGACACCTGAGCTTCGGCCACCCCAGTTCGCCCGGGCCGAAAAGCACCCACCGCACCCTTGTTGCGCGTGTGTTCTTCGAGGCACCGCCCTTTCTCTCAAAGAGGCGCCCGTGGTTGGCCTTGTACAAGGCGTCTGCATGCGCCTCCGGCAAACACAACGAGTCAGATGGAGCTCTTCATTCAATTCATCTTGGAAAACGAGTCGCAGGTGAGGTTTTGCAAGCGTAATGTTGGATCCTGATTAGTAAATAGGGGCTCCCCCCCTAGCTAAACGATTGGAGGGGTCTCTACAATAAACTAGTACCAAAACAATTCTGGATTCCTGGTAGACTTCCTTTTGCAATTCAATGTTGTATTCATTTTCCTTTCATAGATTGTTTTCAGTTTCCTTTCTCAGGTGCTTTGTAGTTGTTCTCAGCAATCCCTTTGCTTTGCAGCCTCAGGATTGCTCTTGGAATTGATGGGTTTGGAAAGCTGTCAGTTTTGAAGAAATCCTAGAGAAACCTATCTCAGTCAATGAATCATAATCATTGGCCTCAGTAGCTAAGTAAAAGACGATTCCATGAAAAGATCTATTTTAAGGCTAGGGTTTTAGTTGATTAACATCTTGTTGGTGGTCTGTTTGTTTGTGTTTTGCTTTGCTGCTGGCTGCTTGTCTGGGAAGGGAGGGGGGAGTGCAAGTGGACAGGGTATGACAGGGTTCGTAAGGAATTCAAACCCTTATCACGGTCCAATATAAACAATTAGGGTCCCCCCCAAAAGTTAGCATTATTCAGACCCCATTTTTCAATAGGGGTGGCTGGAATATGTTTGAACAAATCGCATGATTGAGGACCCATTTACCAATCAGGATCCAACATTAAGATGTTTGTTGAGCACGGAGGTTCCACATGATGTGTTTGTCGGAACCCTTTGCTTCCCCCAATCTTTGGACCCTCCATGGCAGGGCGCCGACCGAACCGAGGGCACGGATTCTCCGGGTCACATCCTCACAAGAGCCCAGTTTGGAGCCATGACATCACCGTGCAAAAAAGCCACTACATTCGTGTGGTCATTGCCCAAATGAAGAAGAATGTCAACCCTTTGACATGGCAGTTCCAAAAAATCAACAATTGAACACAATCTCTCATTGCCAGAGTTTGACCCTCAAGCCGCCTCATGCCTCATAGTCACTCTCACTGTCATAGCCTCATAGATCCTCATAGATCCTCATAGCTACTGGCAATCACAGGGTTTGGGGGCTTAATATGGTGGATTGACCATGCTTCAAGGGCCCATATCTATTTCCCACCCTCCCTTCAGGTCGTCCATGATATTCGGAACTCTTGGGGTATCTATTGTCTAGCGATCCCACCTCAAATTGAATGTGGAATCACGGGAAACCGGACATGTCTAACACCAATTCAGGGAGCAGTCCTGGAGCTATTTGTTCTCTACTTGAGCATCTCCAAGAGGGGTGGCCCATGCGAAGGTCCAGCTTGACACGTTGAACTCGTTTCCCTGGTGGACCTCTCAAAGTCCATCCGCGCGATTCTTCGGCCTGGCTGCGGCACAGCAAGATGCAGGTGTAGAATCCAGAAGCACCAGAGCCCGGCTCGCCTGAAACGAGATGTTGGGACGGCGCAGGAGAACCCTCCACCGGTGGCCATGGTGGAATTTGGAAGCCCTAGGTTCGGATGAACAGCATTTTGCAGTGTTCTCCAGTGGTTTTAAGGAGTCCAATTCCTTTCTGGACCAACCCAGCTGGTAAGAAGCCATCAGGATTGAAAGAAACTGTGGAGTGGACCAACCCAGTGGATCCACCACTGACTTCGGAACCGGAACCGGCTTGCGTCTTCCGATTCGGTTGTGTCTTTGGACGTTGCCAGCTACGGATCCGATGCCCTCGGCGGAGGTCCCAGCATCGAAGGTTCAAGTGATTTACATTGGCGCATATTGGCGCCGGATCTGCTTATTGGAACTCTACATGGCTGATGAAGAACACCTCACCATCACCGTTGGATTTGGAAACAGTTCAGATGTATCATGCAACCAGTTCAAGGTTTCTGTGCACATGTTTCCCCAAGAGTAGGGTCACAGTTCAAATGGAAAACAATACACCGCGATCAAGTTGGGCAAGAATCTTTGTCGTCAAGAAGACATGTGAGAGATCAGCCCATCAAAAGACCAGTCGAAGTGAAACCATAGATCCAAGTTAATTAATACCAGTTCTCCTCTAGCCATGCAATTTTCTTTTCTTTGACAACGCTCCAAAACATAGACTGTAAAACATGAACCCGTGTATACGAAGGAATACGTAGGAATCACCACTGTACCGGCATGAAATTCTGCTCTCTGAATGGTCTGGCAGCAACTCGACTAGAGTTTGGAGCAGCAAACTAGCATGTCTGCTTTGGACCATAAAATTACGACTTGCAGCATTGGGCTGGATCGATTCCTCGATTCCTGTCGGAATCTGGTGCTTATCCACCTGCAACCAAGGAGCTCTTCCCTTCCTCAGCACGCTTCCGTGTCAGACCCAGTCACTCGTCAGAACTCGCTCTGTCACTCATCAAAACCCTCATTGACCTGCATGGCATTGATCTCTCAAACCACTCTAGATATAAGGTTGGATTCTTTTAGGTCTAACCTGTTAGGTAAACATGGAGTCTCTGGGAAATGTCTTGTACTTTCCCCAACCCGAAGAGTATCGGGCGCTCCAGCCCAACCTTATTGTTCATCTGGTTCCCGTGTTCATCTGCTTCCCAGCCATGACAAATGCTCGGCTGTCCTGGTATTTCAGGGATATATATATATGTACTGAGAAAGCCTAGCACCAACCAGCTGTTATTTTTGGAAAAATTATGCCTTTTGGTCGTCTCATGGATGACGGCAGATCTGACGTGTTTAGATCCGAAAATTCAGAATCCGGATCAAACAAATTCCGCTCGAAAGAATGATGCCCTTATGGGTGCATCTTGCTAAACCCAAACACTCCATGAGACTGCGATATATACCATAATATATACCGAAAAATTGGGGTGGTGCCAGGGGGGTCAATATATGGCGTATGGGAAATGTAAACCTGGCCACGCGGGTTGAATGAGCCCAGAATTTACAAGTATAGGTAGAGCCCGGATGACTCAAACCAACATCCACAGGATCTGTACGTCTTGTTGGGCTCAAAATCTGCTCTCCAGCCTCGATTGCAAATGCTCCTGCGTCGTCAGTTCTTGGACTGCGCATCTATGGCTTCTGGAATCCAGCCGCCCCACAGGAAGCCCCTAGGTGCTGCCCAAGCATCCAAGGAGGGGCAAAAAAACTTCCCCCGTGGCTCGTGCCGGAAGACCACCTTAGGTGTTCACTGCCTTCAGCGCAGGCCTTGTTTCATCATGCCTTTTTATGGTTTTCCTATTCACAAATGGCCAAGTCTCTTCTTCACAGTCATAAGCCCACGGCCATGCTTTATGAGCTTTGTGTTCAAGCCCCTTGGTATTCCATGTATTCCCCTCTTGTTTTTTTCTGGGATCATCCCGCCTGAAAGACATGGTGAAAACCAGGTTGTTCAGAAAATGCTGTGGTGTCATGCGATGTCCTGTACTTTCAAGAATCAAGGCGGTCTCCTTAAGCCGCCGACCCCGTGGTGCAGCAAGGGGGAGCGCGCCCCGAAATGGTATGTTCTGTTGTACCAGTTGTGGCCATAAGCTGGGCTACTGCTTCTTTATCTAGAGATCCCACCCCGAAGTGTCAGGTTTCTGTGCCTGGAACAGTGGATTCCTGCCAGATTTTTTCATTCGGCTCAGGAGTGACGTTTGGCCCGATCTTCACTGAAAACTGAAACATCAGATCTTGTTTTGGGACAGACTAGATTTGCTTGGTATTGCAAACGGATCTTCATTAACCTTCATTGAAGTTACTTCACCCTCGAGCAAGTGACATTTACCTGGCATCGCTACTAGGAGCAAGGGCCTTATTACTAGGAACAAGAAGCTACTAGGGGCTCCTGGCATCGCTACTAGGA